TTGTATTCTTCAATCTATATAACTGTTATATGCAAAAAAAAAAAAAAAAAAAAATTTCCAACAATTTAATTGCAAGGTAATTAAAATAATTTTTACTTATTCATTGAAATTAAATTTAAATATAATAAAATTTGTAACTTTTTTTTTTATAATTAAAATTAAAATATAGCCGCACAGTTAATTTAAAGGTATCAAACTGATACCAAAAAAATCAAATTAATATACACTCAAAGGTATATATATATTTGTCTCAGAACTAAATAGACATTTATTTGTTTAAATAAATTTTTGATTTAAATAAAAATTTTATTTATAACAAATAAAATTTTTATTTACCCCAAATAAATGTGCTGAGACAAATATATGTTTATTTAACTCAAATATATTATATTTTGTTTAAATAAAACACTTTTTAAGCGTGCAAAGAAATATTTTATTTCCATTTATTTGCGATAAATAAAATTTATAATCAAATAAAAATATATTTGTCTCAGATTCTAAGAACTTTTTATTTGTTACAATTAATTATTCTTATTTCAATTAATTAATTTAGCGTAAATAAAATTTTTATTTGAACCAAATAAAATTTCAAATCCCTTCAACAAATTGAAATAGTAAAATTTTGACTCATTGTGTAATTTTTTAATTCTTGCAATTATCAATTTAATTTAATAAGCTATTGATGTTTAATAATAATTTAAAAAAAAAAAAAAATTCAAATATCATTTAAATGACAATTTTCTAGAAAATGTACTACAAAGTTCCTATATATTGCGAGAATGGAGGAAGAAAAAAAAAAGAAGAAAAAGAATGACTGAATTTTCGTATATATAGAGAAGACAAAAACCTCACGATTATACAGTCTCGTGCTGAAGGTTTTATCTGATCTTTTATAGGGACTTGTCGAAAAGGGTCTCGCTGCTGGAATCCCAAAGCTATATATACGGTGTAACACGCCTATCCTGCTGAATCGTGCGAACAAAACGTTCGATTAAAAATAACCAAAGTTAAGTTACAACATGCCAATGCAGTGGAGATATAAACCCTAAAGACGCGATCTTATCCATCTTTTCTCTCTGTCTTTATCCCTTTGATCCCAAACCTTAAAGATATATATATATAGGTATTCCACTTATTGTCTTTAACTCTCTGAATTCTCAAAAAAAAAATTTTTTTTTCAAATTACATATGAAAAAATAATTTATTTTTTAAATAATAAAAAAATTTACTATAAATATACTATAAACTATATAATTTACTATAATTTCAAATTTACTATAAAAAAAAATTAAAAAAATAAAAAAACAAATAAAAATAAATAGGGGAATAGTGTCAGGGTTGGGCACAGTTTTGGTTTTTTGTTTATAAATATTTTGTTTAGATAAATTCAGTCAATTGTGGTATATGGGTGGAAAGATCTACAAAAGAGGAACACTTTTGCTGTGGACCGTAAATTGATTGGTCCAAAATTAAAAAAGTTATAAACATTTAAAAAAAAAAAAAAATCTAGTCAGGGTTGGACTTTTCAGTCAGGGTTGGACACTTTTTGAAAATCGAAACGCATTATTGGTAAAAACGTAAAATAACATTTGTAATGTTTTTTATTCTTATTTTTTCATGTTTATCTTTACTTATTGTTTACAAATTGTAAAGCTTCATGGGTTTAAAAAAGGAATGAACTCAAATTATAAAAAATAACGCTTTATTGTTCCAAATAACTCAATGAAATGATGAACAAAATTTATACAATTTAAGTATTATTTTTCTAATATCTTTGGCACAATTTTGCACTGAAATATCAATAAAATAAAATTTATTTATAAATTGTGTCAAATTCATAATTAATATGGGTGTCCAACCCTAACTGTATAAAGTGTCCAACCCTAACTAGAAGCATCATTTTCGAATTGTGCTAACCATAACTAGACATGTGTCGCGATTCGATTTTTCACTTTTTTTCTTCTTAAATTATGTACCCCACAATACATTCAATAAGCTTATCTTGCCGAATTCTTGCTTTTTTTACACATTTTTTAGGTTTATTCACAAGTCAAACAAAACTTTTTTTGTCTCTTCGATTGCACCGAAGTCACAAGAGACGCTACTTTTGATTCTCCAAAAATGTAATGCCACAAAAAGTTAGGTTATACTACTAGAAGATTCGTCACGTACGCACACAGGTGGCGCTAGTGTTCTTATTTAAAAAAAGCCAAGTGTCCAACCCTGACAAGTGTCCAACCCTGACACTATTCCCCTATTTATTTGTTATTAAATAATTATTATTTGAATAATTTAAATTCAATCAATAAATTGAGTTTGTTTCAAATAAAAAAATTATTGGTTCGAATATAATTCATTTAATTCAATTAAAAAATATTTGGTTCAAGTAAATATTTGATAATAGTCTCAAAAGTAATTATTTGAATCGAATAAATTTTTTTTCGGTGTTCTTTTTATTTATTATGACTATTATTTAGTGTTCTTTACTATTTTCTCTGATTAATAAGCTCAGTTTTTATTATTATTATTATTATTATTATTATTATTATTATTATTTTATATTTTATTTATATATATTTATTTCTCTCCATGTACATCTCTTTGGATTTATTTTATTATTTATTTTTTTTATTATTATTATTTGATTTGAATGCGAGAAATTTAATAATAATAATAAAAATTTTTTTTAACACTCGCCAGAAATTTTTTTTCTTAAATATTGCAATTTCAATTAATAATATGGTTTTTTTTAAAATAAATGTTGCAATTTTAATTATTAAATTATTTTTTTAAAGAAAAATGTGACTAATTACTAATTTTAAATTAGTGAAAATTTCTACTAACTTTTAGTCATTTTTATCCCTTTTTAGTGAGAAAAAATTAATACTGAATCAAATGGTAATGTATATTTTATTAAAAAAAAATTAGTGGAAATTTCTATACTAATTTTTAGTTATTTTTCACTAAGGAACACTAAATAATAGACATAATCCCGTCAAATTATTTAAATAAAATCACCCAAAAATTATTAATAATTAATAAATAAGTACAAATTTTAACTAATTTGAAATATTGACTCATACTTTTTGCTTTTGAATTAGTTTAATTTTATTAATTCGACAGGAAAAAAAAATTTTTTTTTTACTATATTCATTAATTTAATTTTAGTAATTCGATTACTTGACTATTATCAAAATATTTATACTTGAACTAAATAATTTTTATTTGAATTAACTAACTGTATTAAAACCAATTTTTTGGTTTTCATTTTTTAATTAAAAAGATGATTCAGTATCGAATAATTTATTTTGATTACTCTTTTTTTTTTGCTAACCATTTTATAAAAAAAAAAAAATCAAATACAATTCACAAGGGGATACAATGTATAAGAGTATATACTTTGTACATAACTTTGTTATTTAATATATATTGAACGCAAGAGAAAACTGAATGAGAAAATAAGTGAATTAAATGAATATTATACCAATAAGTAGGATAAAAAAAAAAAAGAAAAAAAAATAGAATTTGCTTTTGAATAGCAAAAGGGGATCAATTTCTTGAATAACAGGTATACGTATGGTGAACCTGTGCCAAGGCTGGCAAAAAGTGATTACGGGATCAATGCGCGGAATGGAAAGGAGGAGGGCGATGGGTTTGTTGCATTTATTGAAGTCCTTTGATCAGCTGTCGGCTCGAACGAATTTCTCCTGAACAAGTGCGCGCACACGGTAGGATATATCAACGGAACCTGAAAGGAAAGGAACTTTGAAACGTCCGACGATCGTGTATCATACGCATATATATATATATATATATATATAACAGGGGTGTCTTTCATCTTTTCACCATTGCCTCAAAGGAAGCAGAAACAAAATAAAACCAAGTATATTACTCCGAAAAATATTATGCAAATTTCTCTAAATTTAAGACAAGGATTACATTTCATTTTTATTTCCGGGGGTCCAATTTTTCGGAACTCGAAATATATATTTCCATTTCTAAATAAATTTAATTTTGTAAAAGTAAAAATTGTATTTTTTTTTTTTGGGAAAATAAATGCGTTATTCATAAAACTAGGACACTGGAACACGATTTCAATCCCGTGACGAGTAATTAGAATCCTTTGCGAACACGTGCATCGATTATGTATACTATTAATCAAGAAATAAAAAAAAAAGATAATGTGTTCTGTAAAAAAAAAAAGAAAGAGAATTATTTATCCTTGAGGATTATTTATATTTGTATAGGAGGTTTCTATTACTATTCCGATATGGAGTTCGATAAACTTCTAATGTGAAATAAAAAAAGAAAAAAATGATTTCATTATGTAAAGGTACATATAGAGATTATTTTTTTCCTGATGAGCACTTTTTATGCGCCAACAATGCAAATTGTATTCATTATTGCTCGCATAGGGAAGATAAAAAAAAAACCCAATTAAAAACGTATACATGAGCTTTATAAATAAAAAATTGGATTTTTCGAATCAAAATATAATTATTATTTTTTAATTAGATTTCAGTTCGGAAAAAATGAAAATTTTCATTTATTATAAATAAAATTAATTATTATTATTATTATCACTACTGCAATAATAATAATTATTATTTTTATTACTATTTTTATTATTATTACGTATTACAATAACGTTATAACAATAAAAAAAAAATTTTTTTTCCCTTAAAAATTGTAAAATAATTTTAAATTATTTTTTTAGTGATATAAAAAAAATAAACGCATTATAATAATTCGCAATGTGGGCGAATACGATTTGAATAATCGAAAACTAATTTTTGCGGAAATATATATATATATAAATATTTTAGAGGAACATAAAATTTTTATGCTCGCGATTATAAAAAATCAGCATCAATATAATTTTTTTTTTCTAACAATAAAAATTAATTTTTAAAACGGTATATATATGTGTAATCGAGTTCGGGAATCTTCGTTGGAAACCTCAGTCTTCTTAACTCGAGCTCATACTCTCAGCGCTCAGTTGTTAACGCGCTTTCAATCTGAGCGGACGTATGGCTGATCTTTCGTAAAACGTGTTTCGTGTTTTTAGTTTAACTATACACGTGGCGGAAGAGGTGAATATTTTAATCAAGACTGGCAGTTGAGAGGACAATTTTTAAAAATGCACAATTCCCTGAGGTAAAAACGTCAAGACTTGATAATTTTTTTTCTACCATATATGCAATTTTAATTTATTTTTTTATTTAAAAAAAAAAATTAATTTTCCACTTTTTAGGTACTAGTATATTTTAGTAAAAAAATTAAAATTATATTTAAAATTATTAATTAAATAAATAACTAATTTATTATTAATTATTTATTTAAAATTATAATTTATAATTATTAAATAGTAAATAATTATAATAGTTATAAAAAATTAGATTAATAATTATAATCAAAATGTTTATTAATAATTATAATAATTATAATAATTATAAATGAAAAAAAATTATTGTAAATTATAATTTAATAGTGAAAACATAAACGGTCTGTATAAAAAAATTATTATTTTTTTATTTATTTAATTCTAACATTATAATTATTTTTTATTTAAAAACTAGCTTTTTCAAATTCGATTTTTTTTTATAGTGGAGAGGGATTTTGTTGAAATAAACGTTTCATTTGTATGCGGACTCAATTGACAATATTTTTGAATTACAATGGTAATGGAATTTTGGAACGTTTTTAAATAGATCGACTTTTTTTTCCCTCTATATATTCTACCTCTCTGTCACTATCAATATCACTATATGGGATCCGACAGTGTTCGGCATTAATGTCTCCTGATCACGAGACTGTATATATTCAAAATTTATTTACTTTTCAAAATGTTAAATTGTTTATTTAAAATTGTCACCATTTTTCTATTTCACTTCCTTTAAATTAATTTATAAAAAAATTAAATTTTATGGAAAAAAAAATTAAAACAAATTAAATAATTAAATAATTAAATAAATAGTTAAATAAATAATTAAACGAATAATTAAATAAATAATTGAAATTTTTAAATAATTTTTTAAAAATTTGAATTTCTTTTGTAAATTATTTTTTACATGATAAGATTTAAAAATATCAAGCGAATAATTATTCAAGTACACAAAAAAAAGAATTTATTTAATATTGTAAAGCATCTATTTAAGGTTTCAATAGATAGCGAAACGAATTAAAAATTTAAAAAAAAAACCTGAATTTTCTCCTCTTAGAATTTCTATTAGACACAGGGTTATGGCTTCAGGACATGCAGTCGTTTATGAGTTTGTTCAGGACGAAATTTGTATAATTTAGGAGAAAGGGACTCGAAATGTAAATAACTTTGGTAAAATTTGCTTGATTGCTTTTCTCTGCTTTTGGAATATTATAATAATTTTTTTTTTCAAATCACAATAATTATTAAACAAAATCGTTTAAAAGTTTCCACGTTTTTTTTCTTAAATAAATATTTTCAATATTAAAAAACAGTTTTTAAAATAAATTTCCCTATATATAAAAATTTTTAATTATTTAAAAATTTAATTAAATAATTTAGTAATTTAATCAACTTGTAAATTCAGTTATTATAGAAAGATTCACTCAACTTTAAAAATCAGGTAATTTAAAAATTTCGATAATTCATATTTTTATTGGTAAAAATTAATTTATATATTATATAAATTTGAATTAATTTCTATAGCAATAATTTTGATTAATATCAGTTAGTTTAAAAATAAAAAACCTGAAATTTTTTTTTGTTGCCAATATAAAATATGAAAATGAAAGATTAATAAAAAAGATATTGAAAAACTCACATTGGGACATTGCTGCAACGACGACGACGACAACGACGAACGATGTATAATGAAAGTTAATAATCCTCTTCGGGCATCTGAAAAAAAAGAAATGCAAAATATTCAGTGAGTAAATATTTTTTTATCATCTCGTTGCGAATATATCTTATATGGATGGGAATAAAGTTACCATAGCAATTTTGTCAATATTGACTCTATATCTGAGGGGCGGAGGGTAATAAATTTCCTTGATTCGTAGCAAAGCCGTTACGTGATTCACGTTGACTGTATAAAGTTTATATGTATATATATATATACCATACGTTATATTGTACACTATATACAACTGGGCACATAAGCCTCTTTAGCGCCCGTAGCTGTGACCGCGCATGATAAAATTTACCGATTACAGTAATACCTCGTCTACTATATCATATAAGCGTACTACATCACTTGAGCTCGCATCAAATCTCTTAAATAGAATAATATCTCAAATCACATATACTTGTCTCACTTTCAAAACGTGCATCATATTTTATCTATTTATATATAAAACAGGTGCGTTTTCAAATTCAATTCTTTTCAATAATTCTACTTTAAAATTAAAATTATTTCTTATGTTTCAAATTAAAAGAGGCATTTTTCTAAAATTTTATTATTTTTTTTTTTCTAAAAATGTTATTTTGTCAAGTTTTTTTTTCTTACAGTAAACTTGGTTGTATCTTTTTCTATTGCAATGTTTTGATGCACATAAGTTATATCAAAAAGAGATCTCATTTTTAGAAATGATACACGAAACGGTCTCATTTTTTGATGCAAAAAATTGAATCAATTTATATCAATCATGGCCGAATTGAATCGACTCAAAATTAAATGAATTTTTTTCAGATATTTTGGTAATAATACAATTGCGGAGACCATTTCACTATTTAATTTGAAAATGAAAATAGCAGAAAATCAAAGACAATGTGCAATTCGATAATTAAAAAGTGACAGCTTATAAACATAACCTAAAATGCATGAGAAAAAATTTGTCGATAAAATCAATATAGCCGAGCTTTTTAGTAGGTAGATGGCAGTTTTGTTTTTTTATAAAAACGATTTAGAAAAAATTTAAAGAAAGAAAATAGATGAGTGCTGCCATCTACCTTCTAAAAAGCTCGGCTATATTGATTTTATCGACAAATTTTTTCTCATGCATTTTAGGTTATGTTTATAAGCTGTCACTTTTTAATTATCGAATTGCACATTGTCTTTGATTTTCTGTTATTTTCATTTTCAAATTAAATAGTGAAATGATCTCCGCAATTGTACTATTACCAAAATATCTGAAAAAAATTCGTTTAATTTTGAGTCGATTCAATTCGGCCATGATTGATATAAATTGATTAAATTTTTTGCATCAAAAAATGAGACCGTTTCGTGTATCATTTCTAAAAATGATACACAAAACGATCTCTTTTTGATATAACTTATGTGCATCAAAACGTTGCAAAGATTTGATGCAATTTTTGGTCTCAATTTGAAACTTTTAGGAAAACTGTGGCTGCATGGAAAAAAAACTCTTTACCTGGAATAGCGATATGTTTCTCTAGAATAACGAAAACTTTCTCTGTTTTAATGAAACTTATCGTTGTTTTGAGGTGAGAATTTTTTTTCCTTATTCTATTTATATTTAAAATTAAAATAAAATTCGTTAACAAAATTTGTAAATATAATTTACAAAAATGTTGTAAACAATTGTAAATAATTGTAAATTCAAAAAACCTATTTTATTTCAGTAAAATATTTTCAGATACCGATATTTTTGAAAAATGAGAATTTAATTAAAAAGAACAATTTGCAAAATAAAATTTCAAAAAGATGCGGTTAAATTTTATTATTATAATACACTATATTATTTCTTTACATAAATATATGTTTAAAGTAATTTTTGGTTTTTTATTTATTTTTTTTTATTTAAAATTGTTACAACTATAATTTTTTTCAATTTTTTTTTGTATAATAAATAACCTCTACGCTATAAAATTACTAGATAAAAACAGAAATTATTTCAAAAATTTGGAATCAAATTCACATAATTACTTTATACTGTCCTACAATGGAAAAACATACTTAAATTAATTATACAAATTATATTTAATAATAATTATATTATTACCTTTTTTTAAATAATAAATTTGTAATAATAAATAAATAATAAATTTTAAAAAAGTAATTTTTTTCCCGCGCATTTATTTGTCGTTGTGCATTTTCTTTCTTTTTTTTTTTTTTTTGTCGATGGTTCGTCGAATCACGAAGGGCTCTCGCCCACGTAAACCGGTAACACATCACCTACACACGCATATACATATATATACAATTTTCTCATGCATGTGAGCATGTCAAACATGTAAGGTCCCCACATTGTCTACAGTGTTAGTCATCCGTACTGTACTCTGTGGGGGTGAAAGACTTCCATATATACTACTGCCATAAGGGGGAAAAAAAAGGAAGAAAACGAAGGAAAAAAAAAAATTTGTTGCACGTACGTGCCACTGCGATTTCGTCGAAAAAGCGAATGAAAATGTATAGCCAAGTGGAATAAGACATAATGGCGGAGGAAAAAAAAAATGAAATATTTCGATACATCGTTGAAAAATTGGACCTTCTCCAAATTTCTTCAATTTTGATTTTTCACATTATAAAAGAAGAATATAAATTTTGTCATTTCGTAAAATTTGGAATTTTAATTTTCAATTGAATTCATTTTATACAAATTCAAATTTACATTTAGCTGAAATTTATAAAGAAAAATTAATATTAAATCGAATTCTCATTTTTAGAATTGAATTCGCATTTAGCAGAATTTTTCATTTATCTGAATTCTCAGGCAAAACAGAATTTTAATATTAAAAGAATTTTGCAGTGCAAGTTTTGATAAATGAAGATTCTGTAAAATAGAAATTCTAATATTTAAGAGTTCGACTAAATGGAAATTCTGTTAAATATAAATTAGGCTAAATGAAAATTAATTTCAATTAAATTTTTTGTTTAGCAAAAATTCAGTTAAATAAAAATTTTGCAAAATTAACACGAATTCAGTTAAATAAGAATTCTGACAATTTTTCGTCCAATTAAAAATTTGGCTTAATGGATGTGTGTTAAATGAGAATTTCTATTAAACAAATATTAATTCAATTTAAAAATTCTGTTGAGAAAAATTATGCTAAATTTTCAATCAATTGAAAATTCGGTTAAATATATTTTTGTGCCAAATGAAATTTATTTCAAATTAAAATTCTGTTCAGAAAAATTTCAGTTAAAAAAAAATTCTGCTAAATTTTTAAATTGCAATATCTGTTAAATATATTTTTATGTTAAATGAGAATTCTG